CTTCTATTGCGTTTTGAAACGTGATACAATTCTTACCATGCATAGGTAAACGGAAAACCCCCCAGTTCTTTTATTTGTGTATTGTTTTAGTACTGGATTTAAATTCTTCATTGATATATAAACGTGCCACGCGCTCCACAAGATAAATTAATGTTGTATCGACTTAAATTTCAATGAATTAGATAAGTAAAAAAACACAAGTCTCTTCATATGTTTTATTTAACAAATGCCGTTAGTTGTCCTTGTCGTTCTGGCGTCACGGGCTTGACGGCCCGCACGTTAGTTCCAGCCATCGCCATTGCAACTAATATAAAGAAAGTACATATTATATCAATTAAAAATGCTTTTTATTAGATATAAACGGAATCCACTCGTCAAAATTAAACCTTACGAATCAATTTTTTAGTTTAATTCTCTTGAAAAGACGTAATCAAATTTTATACTCGTAGATTTGGCATATCTGAAATGTTGACAAATTTCCTTTCAACAATCCTCTTAACTTATTTTAATGGAATAACATTATCACACAACCAAAGATCTAAAACAATCAACGGCACACGACATTCATTCAATAAATAAATACTTTCAAAAAACAATCAACAACGGAACATATAAACTAAGCAACAACTCAACAAACACATCAAACTTAAGAAGAAGTCTGTCAAACATTATATACATACTGGATTAGTAACAATGTTCCTATAGAAAATATTAATGGTTGACGTGAAATTATATTGTTCACTCACTCGTAATTTTTATTCATACTACATTTTAAGAGCTGTGCTCGTATTATAACACTGGTTTTATTTTAAATAGGTCTCCAGCTGCAAGATTATTGTCGATGTGCACAATTTAGAAATGCAGACAAGTTTCGTCAGCCAAATTAAATGTGAATACATGCATTACTAAAATAAATATTCATTTAAATTTGGTTAGCATTTTTTTTTTTTGCAAACATTTCCAGATTACTTCTTTACTGATTGCGCAATTTATGGAGAATCCTAATTAATTTATTTCACATTTTTTCATTGATTGGAAGCCTGTCCGGATTCTTACCCGCTTTCTCGTATTCTCTTATCTACAATTAATCTGAAAATGTATACAGGAAGAAAGAATTATTTCAGGAGTATGTGGCTTGTTGGGCATTCAAAACAGCATGCCAATGGACAATAGAAGTTGAAGTCAAATCCAAATTAGAGGATAAGTTGCAGTCTTCCCTTAATAATGGAATTATAAATCATTAGATCTTCAGTGAACAAGTAACGAAAAGTTCGAGAATCGGCGACAGGCTACATCAGGCCTTTTCTTCAGCACCGACATCACTATATTATGTTGTGTAATAACCGATAATAATCCATTAGATCCGCGAATATATTCATAAGTCAATATGCTGAAATTATGAATAAATATTTAACTAATTTTGGCCAGATTGCTCGTTAAGTTTCTCAAATAAATGGACTGTACAACTCTGATAATAAAATTTTAATGTTACACGATACAGTTTAACCCTATATCCTACTCTCTATAATTACAACTCAATCTTAAACCCTCACCTGACGCACTCTGCATGGTAATTACAAAAATGTTCACCATGTCTGTAAATAGTTCATGTACCAACAAAAATTAGCAAATTTATGGAAGCCAAACGATAAATTTCTTCTGAATTACGCTTACTTACATACATTAATGAACCTCATTCACTCACTGGATATATCACGTGTCAGTGACCGATCATGGCGGGAGGATCTGTCAAATGCAAGGTGAAACCGGAATAGTATTTTTTGAATGCTATTTGCAACTAAATTACAACCATTGAAGAATGTCAAACTTTAGAAGCTTTTGTTCGTGTTTGAACTTCCTTCTTGACTTCATTTTTCTCTATGACAGAAACAACTACGAAAAAGGGAGTTGCTTGTTAACCAAAATACTAATTTCCATCAGCAGTTATTCACTTTTTCAACTAGCCCTAGTAATCTTCTCAAAATTTTGGCTCTTTTCTTGCTAATACTCGTAGGTCATGAATCATATTTAGCTCTTCAGAGTGAAAAATAGCAAAGTGAATAGAAAATGTACTGTACATTTGGAGGAAGACGGTATGACGGGGCAATAGCCATTATGAGATAAATGTTAACAAAAAGTGACTCTCTGAAATAAGATGTT